CACACACACACACACACACACACACACACACACACACACACACACACGTTTCCCCTGCTTGTTTGTGCATCCTAAAGTAGAAGCTCACTGGTACACGCAGGTGCAGGAAGACGCAGGAGGACGCCAGGTGCTTCATCCCCCACCACCACCACCCCCCTATCTGCGCGCACATGAATACTGGCCAACAATAACCTCCTGCCAAGGAATTAAATTCTTAACCATTTCTGGCGGGAATGTGTGGGGAGGCGCATTCTTGCTCTCATTAGAGGGAGTCTAAAACCACAAGGCCCGGTTTCCTGTCACCGTGTGGGACGATGCCACAAAAACAAGAATTATGAGCCAAGGAGCTGCGGTGTTACTGAGCCGCCAAGCGGACCATCTGCAGCCTTCAGTAAAAAAAAAAGCTCCTGTCTGGGTTAAGTTTATTTTCTACTGAGCATATTGATCACCATATACATAATGGACTCTCTCACTCATGTCTTCCTCACACAATTACATAAATGGTGTGAAAGAAAACAGTAATCTGCTCTGATTTACAACTCAATTAAGACCCAATAAGTCAAGGTCGTTTATATGTGCAGCTCATGTTGGCTCATCTTCTTTTTACTGATCCAAACCAAAAACATTTAGGTGCTTTTTTTTTTTTTTTAAAGAAAACCACCAGAGTAAATTCCAATCAGGACAGCTGGTTTTCTTCCTGTCCACGGAGATGTGGCACCGCGCGGAGGTGGCTGTTGTCAAGTGCGCAACGAAATCCTCTGATTTGATGAGGAAACTTTAGACATAAGAAAACCGCGCGGTGTCTGATACTCACCATCAAAAACGACGGTCCTCATGGTGCTTTGGATGGGGGGGGTGTAGTCCAGGAGAACCGCAATAAATCCAAGCGGACTGACTTCCGTCGCGCGCGGAGATGAGATAAGGTATCCGCAGTTTAGTGAAATTTATGGGTGATTGCAAATCCAGCGCGCGAGGTGGGAGGAAGGAAAAAAATAGATAAATCCCCGGACCCACCACAAAAAAAAAAAAAAAAGCAGCCTCTCTGTGCGCCCTTCAAACTTCAGCCGCAGCTCTTCCCGAGCGGGGAGCCGCGTCTCCGGCTGAACCCTGGCTCAGTCATGAGGAATTTAAAAACAAGTCCGCAGTAAACATCCAAACCTGGGATCAGTAGACTCGACACCTCCCCATAAGAAAGAAAATAAAATAAAAAATAAAATAAAAACCACGCATGCAGACGCAGCTCTGGAGGAAAGAACTCCCAAGTGTTCCGGCTGAAGTGGATCAGCGACAAACCAAAACCGAATCCATCTTTTTGTGTGTGCGTGTGTGTGTGTGTGTGTGTGAGTGTGTGCAGAACAGATCCAGTCCGATCACTTTGCTCCAATGCTAGATTTCCCAGGAACACAGAGGGAAGTGTGCGTGATCCGCACTGGTGCGCATCAGTGTGCGCGCTCACCGGGGCGCGGAGGAGAGCGAAGGGCGGGGCAGAGAGGCGCGTCTGGCGGAGAGAGACAGGAAGAGAGGGAGAGAGAGGGATGGAGGGGGATCCAAAGATGAATCTTTTATGGGTCTGTGTCACGGTACAAAAAAAAATTCCTCTTTATTCTAGAAGTTAGAATATTTATATCTGAGGGATAAAATGTCTCCAGGCTGTCTCCTGCCTGCGTTTCATGATCCTCACAGTTGGAGCCATTAAGAGGACGTGCGGAAATTTCCTGATTTTTAACAGAGAGACTCTGAGACCTAATGACACTTCTTACAGCGCTCTGATGAATGTTTTATGCGCAGAGGGGTTTAGGGGTTGTGTGTGTGTGTGTGTGTGTGTGTGTGTGTGTGTGTGTGTGTGTGTGTGTGTGTGTG